ATTTTATTATAAAATCGAGAAATTTTGCCCCGATCTGCATTATGTAATTTCTTTCCGTTTCTGGCGAATTGCGAATTGATAAAAATTATTTATATTTTTACTATGTACGTTGTTGTGCAATTAATTGTTTTATGGTGACCGGAACTTTTGTACAGGAAGTGTATACTCAAAAAAAAAAAGCTAATTTATCAGTTCAAATATATAATTGTCCGAGGTCCTAACACAGGTGAAAAAATCGAATTTGACATGCGAGATCAAATTTTTGATTTTAACCGTTGTTGAATATTTACGAATGTTTTGTCTTTTCTCTTTTCATTGACTCGTAAGCAGCTGCACAATTTTTTTTTTTGAAAAAGAGGAATGGCATTATCTAACAAAAAAAGTGCGGCTTTGTTTGTTAAATATTTAGAAACAGCTTCAAAAGCTATGATTTTCAAAGCAACTGTTTTAATTACCAGATTATAAGAAAATTCCGCATAAAATATTTTGTATTGGTCGTATTTTTAAAAGAAATTTTATTTACGAACGCGCGTGACATAAATGGCACTTATCCTTGTGGTTACACTCGTACATACAGTATATATATAGTGCAGGACACCTAGTCCCGCAACTTTCTGCGCCTCGTGGCCAATTTTGGGAAAAATCATCAAATCTCAGAATCGTAAGTTATGTTCAAAAATGCAATAAAATTTTTGTAACACGGGACTTTTATTTTGGCTGAATTTTGCGTGTGACAAAAGGATTGAAATATATATATATATAAGCACGTAACAATAATACACCAGTTATATCAGAAAAAAGGAAAGATGAGGGATGACAATTAATCTATTTAACATGGAAAATGCATGGTGTCCGAAAATTCTTTTGAGGGTGAAGCTCTCAAAAGAATGCTGCTCTCCGCAGGAGCATTGGCTTCTTCACGTGAAGAAGGAAAAATTATTTTAGCAACGTTATATTTTGCACTTTTTTTTTTTTTTTTTTTTTTTTAGATGGGAATCATGAATGTTAATTATCTTATATATATATACTGATTTAAACTTTTATCAATTTAGAAAAATTTTTTTTTATTTATCATCTTTAATATATGCTGCTGGTTTTTTAAATTATTTTTTATTTATTATTACCGACTCTCTCTCTCCTCTCTCCTCTCTCATCAATTCCATTAACCCGACTTCCACTAACACCATTAATTTGACATTATCACCATCACCACCTTTTACTTTTAAATCCTTAAAACAAAAAAAATGTAAATTACGTAAAAATAATAAAATTCAAAATGAAAATTTATAAAAACAATCATTAGATCTTTGGATAGATGAAGTAACAAATGATAATTGTACCTTGTCTGTATATATTGTTATGACAAAAGCTAAAGTCTTTGCCAACTATTTTTGCGCAAGAGAATGTGTGACGGGAGACATAAATTAATTTATCCAATAAAATACAATATTAATAATAAGCATTCATCAGCAAACTTCGTAAATCTTGTTAATTCAATCAAGCCTGCCTATACAACCGATAAATATTCATTAGCATGTTGATTTGCAAGCTTCATAGATCTTGTTCAACTATTGAATAATTGATAAATTTTCATCAGTAAGCAAATATGTTTATCAATTATTTAATAGGCGTGATGGAAGCATTAAAGACAAGGTATGAATATTTGAATAATAATAATAGGTAATTATCATTAATAAACCAATTTTTCTATCTAATTTTAGCTATTAAACCAAAAAAATATTTAGTTTATCATGTATACTTGTTTTATATACATATATATATATATTAAAAAGAAAACAATTGATTGATAGAGAAATCAAAGGATTCTGAGTATGTAGGTGGCCTACTCATAATGTCTAGGCGTTTGGATCCATCTATTCAATGAGGACTGATAGGCTCTAATGTAAAAGGAATACACAGGTTAAAAAGAAATAAAAAAGGTACCATATATATATATAAATAAAGAAATTGAAAATTTTATTTTCAGAAAATAAGAATTTTAAAGATAAGTTACATAAACAAATAAAATATTACAAATAAATAAAATAAACAACTAATTAATGATGGATTCTATGTTATCAGGAATTCTTCTGTGGGAACGAAACCTCTTTACAGCATATTCTGCATCCTTACCGGTCAATCCTTTCCTATATGCATCCATATACCTGAAGGATCTACGTGCATATTTTCTTATGGTCAGAATAGGAATAGAATCTAAGGCCAAAGGTATTGTTTTAATAAGACCTTTCATTGTATAATCGCAATTTTCTCTGGTGTACCTTTTAGCTGCACCCCAATACATTTCGGTAAAGTTTAATTCACAATGGAACTTGGGGTAGAAGATTACCATATGACCTCTTTTCTCAATTTCTTCTTGAATCACTCCTTTTTGTGCTTTGAAATCTGGTTGTAATTCCAGAATTTTCAAACCACAACAGTCTGTTTTTTCATTTTGCTCCCTTGATGCTTTAGTTTTACACTTGGAGCATACCCTTCTCAATCCTTCTCTCCACAAATTCCTTTCTTTTAATATTGTTTCCATTCCTTTTTGTTTTCCACTAGGATGAACCATATGTTGAGTTACACCATTTACCATAGTCTCTCTCATATATGGTTGTTTTCCACTGTCATTCTAACCTACTTTGGATGCAACTAAAGCATCATCAGCATAGGCAGCATGTGAAGTTGCATTATCAAAGGCAAATAATGCAATGCAATCCTTGTGTGTTGCTTCAAAAATCGGAATTGCTTTTTTTATTATTTGATCCTTTAATTTTTCTGTTGTCCACCATCCATCATTATTTAATCCTGGTTGAAGATATTCGAGGCTATGTTCATGTAAGTAAGGAAACTGGCTTTTTTGGCTTTCATTTAATTTCAACGGTCCAATTGTTTCTGTTAAAAAGCCACTAACATGATAAGCCCTCCCCTTCCCTTTTTTTTTTAATGGTTCTTCACCAATTATTTTCCAACCCATACTTTTATCTTCATTGGAATAGAAAGTTGATTCATCATGTGTCACCAAAACTTTCATCTTAACACCATCTTCTAATACAGGATTAATTATATTTTCCAAATCGTCATCCTCAAACCTTGGAGCATAAGGCTCATATTCTTCTTTCATGAATTTTAAAAATTCCTTCCTATATGCCACAACATCATCTCTCTCATGACCATCAAAATATATCCCTTTTTTATAAGTATCATACTCCCATCCCAACTTTTTAAGCCACCTTCTTGCTGTTTTTTCAGATATTGTTTTGTTTTCATTTTCTACTCCTATGTTGGGCAATATTGTATTATTAACATGTTCACATAATTTTTTTGGTGTCATGTCAACTTTATTAAATCGTGCATAACTCCTTATTTGAGCAGCAACATCTTCATGATTCCAAAGGCTTTTCATTTTTGGGTGATTCCCTCTTTTTGATTCAGGTAATGTTCTATTTTGGATCCATTGTTTAGCCCAAGATCTAATACATCTCGCTTTATAAATTTTTGCCCACCCTAGAGATATTGCCACCAATTCACTCGCATCAACCTTTTTCCTACCATCATCTAAATGTCTAAAATACATTTCAATGGCCATTAATCTAGATTTTACATTATTGGCTAGATTAGGGTTTTCAAGAGCTTGTTCAACAGACTTTATTGCACTTTTCCAGTCATTATTCATAAGGTTACTATCATCTTCAAGATCAAGATCAAAATCATCATCAAGATCATAATTTAACGATTCAACACCACTTTGCTCTGAATCTTCAGATTGATTTTCACTGGAAGTTTGAAGGTTAAAAAAATCGGTGATTTTCTTTGATCCTTCTGCTGCTTGTTTCAATTGACTAGCATGCCTTTGTAGTGTTCTTTTTGAATCTTTCATGTAAAAAGACCTGCTTTTTATTGAAATGGCATCTTCTTTGAAAGTTTGTTTTGCCTCTTCCCACCATCCACATACAAGATCGGCGTTATCATCTCTGTCCATTCTCAAATCATCCCATGGTTCATTGTCATCAGAATTCCAATCAGATTCGGTTTCAGATTCAGGTTCAATTTCAGATTCAGGTTCAATTTCAGATTCGGGTTCAATTTCAGATTCGGATTCAATTTCAATTTCAGATTCAAGTCCAATTAAATCCATTTCAACATCATTTATATTTAAGTTCGTATCTGGGATAGTATCTACATTCATTGAATTGCTTTGTTCAGAACGATTTCTTCTAGCTTCAGCTAATTTTGCAATATGACGTTGTCTTTTATTGTGTTTGACCATTTTTAATGTGATTAAGTTTATTGATATTATATAGGAAAAATTTAATTGAGAAAAAGAATTAGATTTGTAATAATAGAGTTGGTAAAAAGAAAATTTGAATAAAGAAAATGTTTATTAGAGATATTTTATTATTCTTTAATTTTTTATTATTATTTTTTTAATATATAGTACAGCTGGTAAAAACATCTTGTATTTATATTCAAAATCTGGATATACATATAATTTGATTATTTCTTTAAATTCCAATTCAGTAAATAAAGAAAAATATAAAAATAAATCAGTTCTTCACCACTTTATCAATTATGATAAAGAATACTTAAACCCGAGAATTTTGTGATTTTGTTTTAGAATATTTTTATTTTTAGATAAATAATTGATGTGATGTTTCAGTTCAAATCCAAAAATATCAATAGTAGTCATGTGACATGTCTTATATATGAATTATTCAATATGCGTGATGGAAGCATTAAGACTGGAGGATTCAGGCAAGAAAGATACCAATTGCCATGAAGTATTTGAATAATAATAGGTAATTATCATTAATAAACAACAAATTGTAATTATATGAGTCAAAATTTCATAATTTAGGCATATATTATAAATATTAATTTATCATAATAATATATAAATAAAGAGATTGTTTATTTTAATTATTTAATTCTATACGGATTTGGCGGCGATAATTAGCCCACTGTTGTTCAATCTGGAAAAATTCATTATAAATTTCTTCACTGCAAACTCTACCACTCTGCCTCAATGCCCTCTGATACCATCCATCAAATGCATTTCGGGTATTAAAAATGAAAATGGCAAGATAAGGAGGGTTACGCCTCTGACTCTAAAAAAAGTGGATAGAAAATTTAAAAATTGATAAATGTAAATGTAAATGTAAATGTAAATATACAATACATTGCGAAGGATGGCTTGATGTTGAGTTATAGATTGATCAAGACGGCAAACTTGAGAAAATACATGAGGGACATGTGAAGGTGGTGGAGGTAGGCGATCATATACTCTTGATCTTCTTCTTCTATGTACCATCTGTAATTAGAAAAGAAATGGGGAAACAGTTAGTCAAAGGACTAAGCAATT